TGAGTTAAATAATAAGTGAGCTGACCAGCATAGTCCCATATGCAAGTTACACCACTCAGATCTGCCGTACTAGATTTAATTATCTGATCTTGAATTTCTTTAATAAGCTTCTTGATCGGGGGTTTGTCACTTTTGAAAGTACTTGTTGGCACCGACAGAGATTTCTTTACTAAAAATAATAACAAAAAATCAAAGAACATTTATCAGTTTTAGTGGAGCAGTGGTTAAACTAGAAAAGCTTATTGGTCTCAGCATAGAAATCATAGCAAATAATAATGATTTCAATTAGGTTTGCTGCCTAGCACTGTAAACACAAATAGATTAATAATAACATCAGTGATCGAATAGGTGTTCGGTCACTCGGTATTAAGAAAATAAGGACGGGAACCCTTCCTGAACTCACACACACTCAGATTCCCCCATCCCCCCACCCAAAAAAAAAATTAAGCAGGCTTACCGGAACATATTTCAGGTAAAGAACTTTGACTATGAAAAGTCATAACGAAGTATGCAATAGTTTTTAAGCTCCCCATTACAGCCTGTATAAGGCTTTCCCATTTCCTAAGTTTTAATATTTTAATACATTATTTTTTTTATTAGTCTATTCAAATTTCTTTACGATATTCATTTAATCTCCTCATACAAAGGTTAAACATAACTTATACTGTATATTGACCTGTATCAAATAAAAACAAAGAAAAATTTCCGGTTTATACAGTTTATATAAAATTAAAGAAATGGACATTATATAATAGTTAACAATTTTCATTGTAAATGTGTTTAATACTGTACATTATTGATTTCTACATAAAATGCTTGTTTATGTTGTGTACATTTGAAATACATAATAAACTACCTTTGCGCTTTTCTCCAGGATGAATTGAGGATGAAGCAGGTAGAGTTACAGATTTAGTAGAGCTGTGACCAGATGTACTATGTTGTGTTTTTAACAGCTCCTCTGCAGTTCTTGCGATGATAGCGTCATCAAGTACCTGCTTGGTTCGTCCACACACTATGAAACAATGTTAGCATTTAAAAAAGCAAAGGGAAAGAAAGGGGGAGGGGCAGAAAATTGTCTCTAGATTGTATAACTGCTCAGCCGGTATAAATATCCTTAAACATAGATCCTTTTATTAACGTGATCTATTATTCTGTATAGACAATTGTTATACTAGGAATATAATTAATTAACTGGCTACATCTTTAAACAATTTTAATAATGTTAAAACCTATCATGGTGCTTTACTTCTTGGTAAAAACATAGATGAGGATATAAAAAAACAATGAATTTCTAATATTGTGCTATATAAATATGCCTTGTTTTAAATAAATGACCACATAATTTTGTATCTATTCTTTGCCTGAGAAGAATTTAAGCTTTTTTATACACTTTATCATTCAAAACATCCATAGGTCTAAGCATTTGACATAAGATAGTTTCAAACAAACTCCGAAAAAAGTGATACAAGCCACTGTGATTCAATATTTCGAACTTTATTAGTTCATCTTCTGGACCATATTCATCCCCCTTATGTTTCTTATCCATATAATCATACCGTCTATATTTTCCTGCTCCTCCCATTTACTCCAATCGCTGCCAACAGTTTGGAAGACGATAATTTTAACAATACCATCAGTTGGCGGCTCTTTCTGATTAAATCTATTAGTGACATTTTAAAAGCAATTACCAATGATATTATTTAATTTACAGAACTATAAACAATAATCATAGCATAAGCAATAGATTAATTCTTTCTTTCTTTCTTTCTTTCATTCTTTCTTTCTTTCATTCATTTCATTCATTCATTTATATGCACATTTATTTATCTTTTTTTTTTATACGGTAGTACATTTGGTGAGCATGACAAAAATAAGAAGGTACAAACGATACAAGACAATAATAGACAGGACAGACTAAGAGAAAAAGAAAGGAAAGTAAAAACCTAACGATACAAAAACGGCAAAAACAATGCTCAAATATAAAACCCATGAAACCATAAATAGCTTAAATCTAAATGATAAAAAGAAAAACAAATTAAGACACATTTTTAAAATATGTGGTTTTTTTTTAACCTGCCGGTATTTTTTTTTTATTTGGAATTTAAAATTGTAAAAGGAAGGAAGATTATTCCAGGAACTTGGACCTGAGAATCGGATATTATGTTGAAAGGAAGTTGTTCTGTGTGTGTGTGGGGGGGGGGGTGCATTTGATTAGAAAATCTAGTATTATGGTTATGATATATGATTAAAATGGAATAATAATTGAAATTTGAAGGGGAGGAGAGAATTAACCCAGGAGAAAATGAAAACATCGTTAAAGGTAATTAATGTCAACAGTTTGAGTTTGAGGGAAAAACAGGGAAACGAAGTGGCCATAAACAATATTGCAATAATTACAATAAAGAAGAATCAAGGAGCTATAAAGTATAGGAATACAGGAAGATAATCTATATATAATACTGATACTATTACAAATTATGTTCTCATTTTCACAAATGTGCTTCTTACAATTTAGGCGACTGTCGATATAAACGCCCAAAAATTTCGTGTCATTAACAAGTGGGATAATTTGATTATTTATTTTTAGTTGGTCAGTATGTTATCAAGTAATCTAGTGGAATTATGAAAGGTAATACAACTACACTTCTTCAAATTAACAGAAAGCTTGTTGGCAGAAAAAATGTTTAAGAATGTTTAGTGGGCATGTTGTCATTGGAAACATTAGAAAGTGAATCAATATTTTTGTCCATATACAGAAGAGTGGTGTCGTCAGCATACATAAGAAACGTAAATAAATGTCAGAGTTAAATAAATCAAGGCGTACCTCATTATATATTTCTTTTAAATACAATGCATTGCTTAGAATTAAATGCGACATGTATAATAATGAACAAAAGGCTAAAGAAAAGTGGAAAGAGCTACAAAAAATATGGAAGGTTTTTTAAAGTAAGAACTGTAACACTTAAAATGTAAATGTAATAATTTTTTGAGGATGTTTAAATGTATGTGTATTTAATTTGCAGTCTTTATAAATAATTATGTACAAAGAAAGATAAGATATAGTAATATGTGAGTAAAGAAAGAAGGTAATAAGACCTAATGCTGTTTGTTAAAGGTTTTGTATAAAATATGTATATAAAAGGAGGAAAAAAAATATTGAAAATAAATGAAAAAAAGACAATAAAAGTGGGTTACCCCCACAAAAGACAAAAAAAAAAAAAAATCAGCATAAAAAAGAAACGTAAATAAATGAGATGAATTACAAATGCCTGATGTATAACAAAAACAAAAGGGGACCTAGCAGAGATCCTTGTGGAACTCCACAAGTGATAGGCAGAATGTCGGACAGGGCATTATTAAATGTTGTGCATTGTACAATTGGAAAGGTATAACTTTTAAAAATATTATATGCAGGGCCACGAATACCATAATGGAAGAGTTTGGATAGTAAGATTTTATGGCCAATAGTACCGAAAGCCTTCGAGAGATCAATGAAAATGTCAACGGCAATTTCATTCTCAAAAGGCTCTTGTTATATCGTTCGTAAGTTGAAGAAGTGCAGTTGTAGTGTTGTAGATTTTTTTCTAAAGCCAAACTGAATAGGGTGTAAAATATTGGTATTTTGAAAAAAAATGTAAGTGCGATCATAAATAAAACGTTCACAAATTTAAAAAAAAACTGAAAGAGTGGGGATTGAACGGTAATTAGAAGTATCAGATTTTTTACCGGACATAAAATTTTGGTTTAACTTTCGCGTATTTGAGGCTATCCGGAAAAACGCCATTTGTCAGACAAAGATTAAAAATGTAGGAGAGGGGTAATAAATTATTATTTTTTTTAATTTGTTTTGTTTTATTTATTTTTATTTTTATTTTATTTACATATTTTCATAAATTTATTAGATTGTTTAATAATATATGAATTAATATCCTCAATACCAGGTGCTTTGTGCTTTTTTGAAATCCCTTACGACAGATAGAATCGCATGAGAAGTAACAGGGTTAAGAAATGACGAATGGAGGGCAGGTTTAGGAAGGCAAGATTTGTAATTTGAATAGACTGACCGATATTATTTAAATGTGTAGGACCAATATTAACAAAAGAATTATTGAAGTGATTTGCAATTTTAATAGTGTCACTTGAAGGGGTTCCGTTATAGTTTACAGCGCATTTATCGTGATTACTGTCTACCTTCATTTTTATATAAGACTATTGATAATTTTGAATGTACTTTTAATGTTAGTTTTTTTGCTTATTAAATTTATCTTCGTCAAAATTACTCAAAGTTTGACGGGTAATTAAATTAAATTTATTACAAAATTGTTTGAATTTACCAATGCTATTGTTTGTAGGATGCCGAAGGGATTTGGAATAAAATTTATTTTTATGTTCATTTAAGGTAAGTATCCCACCGGTCATCCGTGTCTTAATTTTCTTTTTCTTGGCAGAATGTTGGTGAAGTGGAAAACGTTTGTCATAGATGTATTTAAATTTTGGATTCAAAATTTGAAAAAAATATTGGGGTCATTTAAATCAAATTCGTCCCAGGATGTTCCTTCGAGTTCATGTATAAAGTTGTCGGAAGTTATATGAATTAGGGACGATCATTTATTACAAAAACTAACTATATACAACATTCCTTTTATATTATATCAACTTATAGGATTAATAGTTCAAAGACAACTTAATTAACAATTGCCTGATTATTGATCCCATTATTATACGGCGCTCTTCAGTACTGAGTAAAATGTTAAAAATTAAATGCAAGCAAAACAAATACAAAACTACAATATACGGTACATATAGAAACCATCTTGAATACTTACTCTTTCCCAAGCATGGCTTTTATACAGCAAGTCTTTCCTGACCCTTCTTTCCCAAGGAACTTCATTCTTGAATTAACAACAGTCATTGTACCATTTTCTTTTGCATCGTTGTAAGCCTTTAGGGCGTCACCACCTCTAGCTAATATCTCTGATGGAACAGCCCGATCTAATGAATATAACATACAGCAGATATTTAGTGTTTTGTCTTGATTGTACTTGTAAATTTCATTATAATTTATGTCATATACATAGGCGATTCAAATGTAAAAACTGTAAACTGTCTTGCTGCAATGCTAAAAAAAAATAATTTGTTCACACTTGAAGATAACTCTTTTTGTACAATTTACACTTTATGTTACAAATTCATATTAAAATATTATTTGGAAGTTCGTATCCGATTAAAGGCAAATGATTTTACATTTTTTTTTTGTTGTTGATTTATTGTGCCTGTCGATGTTCTGCTTTAAGTTACCCATGAAACTGCTGTTGATGGTTATTGCAATTGCAGAAAACAATTAGATTGCTCTATGTCTGGCCATTGCCTAAACAAATTGCAGTACAAAATACTATTCAGTCCTATTATATTTTTATGACTTCCCATAGTGAATTATACATAACAAACCTTCAAGTGATTGTCTCATATTTAACTTGTTGTCTCCTTTGGAGAATTTATCGTATTCACTACATGCATTATTATCGTACAGATCAAGAGGCGTCTTTCCATACTGTAAAAACAGACACATGGTGATTAATTTCATCAGTTGGTGTTTAAAATTATATCAACAGAAATCAGGGGGACATTTTAGTTTAATAATAAAAAAAAGTCAATTATGGAAAATAATATTCCGAAACAATTAACATTAGGCCTACAATAATATTGTAACAAATTTCGGAAATTTTCCCTGGGGTCACTAGGGAATGGACTAACCCAAATAAGAAATTAGATTTAGCCTCCAATGCCCTGCTATTTTAAATAAGATATGCAAATGAGCGAAAGAGTATGGAACTCTAACCCCATTGAATGAACTACATATGCTGAGTACAGGGAGAGGGTAGAATTGGTGACTCAGAATTTGTAAGAGACGGTTGCATAGAATTTCAGCAGTAAAAGCGGGCTTATCCATAAGGTAAGGGTACCTATTTGGAATTCAATATCTGTCTTCCCATGTACTTATTATAATTCCACAGTAAGTGGAAGTGTAACCAAATGAGGGATGAGTAAATGATATTCCCAAACAATTAGCATTATACAGTAATATTGTAACGGAATTTGAGATTTTCACTATGGGGAATGAACTAACCGAAATGGGAAAGTGGTCAACCCAAACCTGATTTAACCAATTTACCCTCCAATGCCCTGTTGTTTTTGGCAAGACATACAAATTAATAAAAGTATAGAACCCTATTATATTTGAATTCAATTCAATTCTTTTATTTCAGACAATTAATACAAAATACAAAACAGAACAAGGCAAGAGAAAAAAGATCAATCAAGCCGATTGAACAGCGCACAAAAATCTACATAACTAAGCTGGGTATAGTAGTGAGAGGGTAGGATTGGTGCTTGAGAATTCGTCTGACGGTTGCATTGACTTTCAGCAGTAAAGTGGGCTTATCCGTAAGATAAAGGAACCTACTTGGAATTTAATATCAGTCTGCCCATGTACTTCAAATTCTACTGTACGTAGAAGTGTAACCCAGTGAGGGGTTGGTGATCATACTTGTTTAGATCGAAGACTTTTTTTAACGAGCTGAAAGTGATAATCTTAGGTTCGTTAATTATTTCGTTTATTCACTATTTATTTGCTGAAGTTCAGGGCCCACAGCTCTGGTCGAACCCATGGTTATCCTGACAATGAACCTGGTCTGTTACATTATAACAATGGGGTAAATAATTTTGAAATATACTGAGAAAAATCATAATTTACTATTTGATTCGAATATTGTTTTGATGCATTTTCTTTTAGTGCATTACCTTATCTTTTATTGAGAGTAATGCGCCATACTCCATTAGGCACAATGCCGTATTTCGCTGTACCTCAAAGGGCCTCGAAGCATACAGACAGTCATGTAGCGGTGTGCATCCATGCTACAATGTGTACAAGAATATATAATAATAAAAATAATAATAATAATAATAATAATAACATTAATAATAATAATAACATTAATAATAATAATAATAATAATAATAATAAGTTGTTGATAATGAAATAATCAATACTGACAATGGTATTATGATGAACAAAATAGCAATAACTTATTATTATTATTATTATTATTATTATTATTATTATTATTATTATTATTATTATTATTTGTCATATTCAGTCTATCACAAACCAACCCACAGCGACATCTATTTAAAGAAGCGCTCGTTTCATCCTCATCTAACATACTCATTCATTCATCCATGGATTTATTCAGACATTTAAAAATCACATACGGTACATACAATTAAAATATAAAAATTTTCATTAATAAATCATTCATTATCATTTAAAAAATACCATTAGCAAACCAATAAATATAAATATTTAGATAAAAAAAGGGACATCAATAATTCCTCAAATAAATTTTTGTCAATTATTATTGATTTGGACCATTTAATGTTTTTAGTTCAAATAAAGTACATTTGTATCTAACAGACTGGCTTCGATTATTTCAGAAATCCCAATTCAAGGAAGCAGAAAGGCATAAACATTAATATAAATGAGATTCTGCATTAATATATTATGATTTAAAAGGTCGAAGCCCTTTGAAAAAACGGTAATAACAACAGATTATTGTGTGCTTTAGTATTGTCTGAATGACTACATAGATTGTTAATTAACTTAATTAGATAATGACAGGTGGACATGCCCCTTCTGCTTCCAAATTGGTGGATCTTGTCTTTGGTGTCGTTAAAAAGCCAGTTCGAGACAAATTGTTCAGCTGCTTTGGAAAAGTGATCAGTTTTATTATAATTGGTCTAAGATTGTTTCATGTGGCTGAGGAAGTTTTGGGTATTGGTACAACAGCAGCTTTCTTCCATTGGTGCAGGACTTCGTCAGCAATGAAGGAGGAATCAAGAAATTCAGCTAACGGGATTCAAATCTACTTACGCCAGCGGCCGCGTAGATGGTAGGTAGGCAGATAAAGATTTGGTGTTAAGTCGTTCCACATAACACCCACCCGAAACTAAATATGAATACTGGCTTTTGTCTTAAGTCATTTAAAACTTAGTGTCAGGTATTGTTTAGTTTTCCACTAATCAGCAGCCAGTCTCACTTTTCAATCATGTATTTCTCTGTTTTGATTACCTGCAGATATTATTCTAAGATATACTTAGATATTCTTGAAGCAACTCAAACAAACTTCGAGCTATTTTCAACAAAAACAACACTTCTTTTGAAAACTATCTATGTCATGTTCCACGAGCATATGTTACACATTGAAAAAAAGAAAGGAAATGAAATAAGAAAGCATTTAGCAGCTAATTAATATTACTAATACAGTACACTTTAATAGTAGGTCTGTACTAGAAAATAGTATTAAAAATTGTTTTAAATGCCTTAGCATTCAGTCGAGCATTTACTTATTCATTTTATAAAGCTTTCGTTTACAATGAATATTCTGTTTTCCTGATATTATACTCACTTTATTGGTCTTGTTAACATTTTCACTCGTTTTCTCTAATGCACGTCTCAGTAATGACGCAGATGCGTTGTACGCCAACACGTGAAGAATAGTTGAATTTTCCTACAGGAGCAAACGTAAATAACAAATAAAATAAGTAAAAAAAAAAAATTATCAATATAAAAACTGAATCATATTACATAAACACCGCATTCCAACAACAGACAACATCTCCAAAACCACACATATTATAGAAGAGCTTTGCTGAGCCGTATGGATGAATGGATTTATTCGATGTAAACACAAATACCCCCACGACAGTTTGAAGATGAGTGTAGTGGTTTCTTAACGTGCACTGGGCCATAATGCACACGGGACCAACATCTTTAAGAGACGTCTCATCCGAAATTTGCAATTTACCCTCCAGTTGAAGCACAAGGATAGCAACAATGGGAATGAACCGGGACCTAGAGATCTCCATGTTTCAGCGCACACACAGTGGCTACCACCAGATTAGCCGACTGAGCTATCTGCTCGCGCAAATTTGACATAGTACTTGGATTGATAGATGATAGCCACTGTGTGTGCGCTAGACCGCAAATGATCCTTTCTGATATTTGGTTCTGGTTTTAATTCCATCTGCTGCTCTCCTTGTATTTCAGCTGGAGGGAATCCTTTTTTACGATAAAAATTCATATATCGCCGCGACTCATAGACACCGGGCCAAATATATGACCAAAATTCCATGGTAAAATTATTGAATATTATCTTTGTGTGAGTGATAGTAAACTTAACGTTACCACTAATAGTGTTAGTGAAAGTATAGAAAAGCTTCCATTGGTTAAGTCCGCTGGTAGTGAATAAAACATTATACTGTACCTATCAAACTTATTAATCTAAACTTTCCACGTCGGTGTGTGCGTAAAAACTAATTCCTTTGATTTTGGATATAGCATGTGTGTAAACAAATTGATTCATGAAGTTCCTGTAATTTTCTATGCTAAATATTTATTTAAAATGAGTATTGACATTTAAAAAGTGTCCTTCCTTTTAACATAAGGAAGTATAAATATATATATATTTATATATATTTGGATATAGCATGTGTAAAAAGATTGAAAATTCATTAAAATTCCATGTTATTACCTAAGTTAAACAAAGAGAAAGAACTTGACAAAAAAAATAATGGAAAGATGGAAGAGATTTGGCCAGTATGGTAAATTCTTGAAAGAGAAAGCCAAGCCCATGTGCTTAAAAAAGTCATGAATGACACACGGAACTGAAACATGGATATTAACGCAAATACTTCCACAAAAATGCCAGTGGGGCAAAGAAGTATGGAGAGGTCTATGCTCAACATCAGAAGAGTTGATAAGTGGAAAATGAAGATATATCCTATGTATACCCATTACTCATATTATTAATCAATCCATTACCACTGAATGTGTACCCGATGAATTTAAGTTAGCAAGGGTTAAGCCGCTACATAAAAAATACTCTAGGACTGACATTAATAATTATCGCCCCATCAGCATTCTTAGTTCGCTCTCTAAACTTCTAGAGAGAGTTGTCTTCGAACAGGTTGGAACATACCTCGAAGAAAACAATATTATGTATCAATATCAGTCCGGATTTCGGAGAAATTTCTCCACGGATACTTGTTTAATACAACTAATGGATCATGTTCGTTTACAAATGTCTTCTCACGGGAATGGTCATGTTAAACGTTCAAAAAGCATTTGACTCGGTCAACCATGATATTTTATGTGATAAATTATCTTTTCTTGGTTTTAGATCTGTGGGGTGGTTTCGAAATTATCTCTTAAACAGAAAACAGCTTGTTGAATTAAACGGTGTTAAATCAAATCTTGTTAATATTAATCACGGTGTTCTTCAGGGTAGCCTATTAGGGCCCCTATTGTTTACCATTTAGGTTAACGATATGCCGTTTTGTTTAGATGATGACTGTAATATGCTTTTGTATGTCGACGATAGTGTAATCACATTCTCCCACAAAGACTCGAATTTAATAGAACGCAAACTAATTGATAACCTCACGAAATGTAACCTCTGGCTGATTGATAATCAATTGTCCCTTCATCCAACTAAAACTGAATGTATTCTCTTTGGCACTTCTCATAGGCTGAGGAAAGTCGATCGTTTTAAACTGGATTATTCTGGACACATTATTGAAGGCTGCGATTCTGTAAATTACCTTGGTGTCAAGATTAACCAACATGTTTCCAGAGACTTTATAGCTATCTCAGCTATAAAGAAAGCAAATTCCCGCCTAAAATACCTTTATCGCCAAAGTTCGTACTTAAAATCAATTTTGTCGTAAAATTCTCACAATGGCTCTCGTGCAGCCTCTTTTCGACTATGGAGCTTCTTCATGGTTTCCAAGTATTGGCAAAAAATTATCTAAAACATTTCAAGTTACGCAAAACAAAGCTGTACGTTTTATTTTAAACCTTAAGCCCCGTACACATGTTGGCCAACCACAATTATCTGAAACTGGAATGTTTAATGTTTCCGAAAGAGTGATGTTTTTAAGGGTCTGTCATGTTTTCAAAATATTTCATAATTGCTGCCCACCCTATCTCTCCATTAATTTTCACCGTATTTCACATAAGTATAGTACGAGGGGAAGTACTTTTAATTTTAGGGTCCCGACACTCTCTTCTGTTGCCCAAAAGCACCTTCTGTTATAAAGCAATCAAGGATTGGAATTCGTTACCTAAAGAGATAAACACTTGCCCCTCACTTAGTAATTTTAAATCTAAAGTTAAAGGATATTTAAAGGAAAAGGCATGTAATGAAGAATCTGCTTCGGTGGTTTTTTATTAATCTTTTTGAACCTTTCTACTTTTTCATTTTGTTTTTTCTTTTTCTTTTTTAATTTGGCTTGAAATTTCTTTTGATGCTGCCTTCGGCCTTCTTGGTTTTTCGTCATAGGGACCCCAATGGAAATAAGACCTTTTTAGGACTTTTTTGGGCTATCCTTGCATCTCCTTTGTATTAATTCCTCAATTCCTCCATCAATCTTCTTGGACTTTGTACTGGCCTTTTGCTTGTTTTTTTTTGGTAACTTTTTTTCAAATGAATTTTATGCCTTTTATATTGTGTATTGTTTTAATGATTGTACTGTTTTTATATGAGATGCGAATAAATAAAATCAAATCAAAGGAAAGGCAACAAAGATTAAAAATGTATCTGGAAAACTGGGCGTGGGCAGGCCATGTAGCTCGCATGAACCATAACAGGTGGCCTAAAAAGTTATCAGTATGGACGCCATACGGACACAAAAGAAAAAGAAGAAGACCTAACAAGATATCTTTTCCAGAAGGAGCTTGGTGCGAACTGGGCAAATCTGGCAAAGAACAGATCAGAATGGAGTTCGAGGAGGCCATCGGCCAGCAGGCGAACATATATATATACACATATATAGATATGTATACATATATACATATGTATATATATATATGTATGTATATATACATATATATACATATACATATGGTACATATATATATATAAATACATATATATATATATATATATACATGTATATATATATAAATGTATGTATCAAATACATGTATATATA